GTTAACCTGTTTGGACCTAGTTGATAAGTTCTGGTATGATAAGTTCTGGTATGATAAGTTAACCCGTTTTAAAATTAGTTCGATTGGCAAGCATCAATATTTCAAAATTACTCACTCAAATCATGGAAATTTCTATTACATCCTTCAAATCATCACAATATTTACTATTAGGTCCACTAGTTAACACCGGTTATATTTAAAGAAATATTCTTTTAAATCTAACTATTATTACTAGTTTTCCTTGACTTTTAATTATAAAAAGTTAACCCGTTTGGACCTAGTTGATAAGTTCTGGTATGATAAGTTTTGGTATGATAAGTTAACCCGTTTCAAAATTAGTCCGATTGGCTATCTTCAATATTTTAAAATTACTCACTCAAATCATGGAAATTTCTATTACATCCCTCAAATCATCACAATATTTACTATTAGGTCCCCTGGTTAACACTGATTATATTTAACGAAATATTCTTTTAAATCTAACTATTATTACTAGTTTTCCTTGACTTTTAATTTATGTATAACAAACCATATTGTTAATTATTACAGCATTAGTATCGGGGTAGAATACCTAGGAATAACTTTTCTCAGACAATAGCAATATATGCGTCTTAAACAATAATAGTAGATGTGTTTCATGAGCCTAGAGGTAGGGGTGGAAGTGAACCAAATAATCAATAAACTGTTTAGTTATTATTCATCTAGCTATTCGATCAAATTTGATTCGCTATCTCATTTAACAATAAATGAATAGCTATTAGTTATTAAACTCATAAACAAATAGAAATTAACCAAATATGTATTCGATTTTCTTGGTCATTAAATCTTCGTTCAATTTGAGACATTAGCTTAAATGGCAAAGACAATTTAGAGGGGGGATTAGTAAAATGATGCTTTGGGGGGTATTTACAAATATATACAATGCTTGGGTATATATGTAAAAATTTCACAAAAAAAAAAGTAGTGGCGATCCAAGAGTTCGAACACAGGACCTGTTATATCATATTCGCTCGAACTCAATTTTGACGGCTCTTTCTCCTCTTAACCTTATAAAAAACTCCAAGAGAACTCTATCCAAACTATTTTCATCCAGTTTTTATTGATTAAATCTAATTTATCTCCTCTCAGATTCATTAATGATGTTTACATGGTCAAGTCCATCCGTAAATGAAGCCCGGAGTAGTGGAGTTCATCGAATCTACTAGCATAAAGAATAAAAATAAATAAATTTAAAAACTAACATAGAATTCCTAATTAATTAAAAATATTTTAACATAAGAATCTGATAACATATGTATCTTTCCATCGCAAATGTTTGTATTGGCGATGGATTTCAAATCTGTCGCCAATACCCCGTCGTCAATGCTCAGTTTTCTACCTGTTAGTGGTTATCTTTAGATTGGTTTTCTTGAAAGTATAAAAATATGACTAGAAAACCATCCTCTTATATTGCTCATTAATTCCACTAATTTTTAAACTAGCAAAAGGTATTTCCACTAATTCCATTCATTTATTAACGAGAAAACTACTAGATTCGTTCTATAAGCAAATTCAAATTCAGGAAGTATATATCACTTATCCCTAAAGAAGGGACATGCCTCCAGCGACAAAGTTACGGCTACAGCCTCCTCGATGACGACGCTAGAGGGGAGCAGGGGGCCCTTGAGTAGGCCACCAAATAACTGTCCTGGATCATAGTAGACTTCCACGTCCTCAGCTCTCAAGCTATCATCTACCTGCGTGGAACAAAATAGTATTGGACTACATTTAAAATATTATAGATTTGAGGGACTAATATTAAAATAATTCTTAATTTTTTGTAGGGCCACTCATTAACAATGGGATAATCAATCACTAATGTTAATTTTTTACGATGGCGAAGGACATTGGCAACGGATTCGATTCATCGCCAATAAGTATTGGCGACGTATTCGAATCCGTCGCCAATAAGTATTGGCGACGGAACATTAGCGACGACTCGAATCCGTCGCTAATACTTATTGGCGACGGATCGAATTCGCCACCAATGTGTATTGGCGACGGATAGAATCTGTCGCCAATAAGTATTGGCGACGAAACATTGGTGACGGATCACATTCGTCGCCAATACTTATTGGCGACAGATTCGATCCGTCGCCAATACACATTGGCGACGAATTCGATCCGTCGCCAATAAGTATTGGCGACGGATTTTTTCGTCGCCAATGTTTTTTCGTCACCCAAGAGTATTGGCGACGGAAAATCATTGGTGA